CTCTCTCTCTCTCTCTCTCTCTCTCTCTCTCTCTCTCTCTCTCCTAGCCTTCCTTGTTCTCGAGGTTATATTCTACTTCTACTGTTTTCAGAGGCCATAAGAGAAGACAACCACGATCATGAACTCAACTGGTGGTGTAGAGGGAGAAGGCCTTCTGACCGAGGACCAGTTTCTCATTGGCGTGATCGTGTTTGTGAGTCTGAACATCGCCTTGGTCCTTTTCGGCATCGTGAGCAACGCTATCAACGCCTGGGCTTTTGTCGTAATGGGCCTACAAGATGGCTTCACTTGTAGCCTCTTCGTCCTGTCCGTTTCCGATCTAGGTATGGTCCTAACTGGAGCCGTTTATACTAGCTCAAACTTAATGGGAGTTTTAGAGCAAAAACGGGTTCTGTTGTTTAGCATTGCTCCTCCCGCCCTAGCCCTCACTTCGGGCTACCTACGTGAGCAGTTTCTCCTCCTGTCCTCCCTCACCACCACATTCCTCGCCGTTACCCGCTGCGCATGCGTCACAATGCCTCTCAAGTTCCGCTATATGTTCACTCGGCGCCGTGTGGTCGTGTCTCTGGTTGTCTTTGCTTGCTTCAGTTTTCTGAACCCTTTGCCCCTTATGGCCGGAATGAGGTTCAAGATAATACCCATCAACAATGGCACCTTTTTTCGCAGAATATTTACCCTTGATGCCCACTATTATCAGGTGTCGGAAATAACGGACACCTTGTTGGATATGATAGCCAACTGTGGCACCCAGTTTCTGACTCTGATTTCACTGGTGCTGATGTGTATCGCTCTAGAACGCACCACTCGCTTCAGACAACAGTCCTCGCACACCAGCCATGGGCCCCTAGCACAGACAGGGACAATTTTCGCAACACGCTCCACAACAGACGATACATCGACCTCTGACGTCATAACAGAAGTCTCCTCGTCTGTTCGGCAAAACGTGTCTACAGCTGCTTCAACTGAAAGCACCGAACTGATCAACTCGACATCGGAAAAGACGACAGGAACTCTTGGGACACAATCAAGAGTAGACACGACGCAACAGGAGCGAAAGTCATCTTCAGGGTTAGAACTGACAACGCAAGAGGTGAAAGCTTCCACGAAAGACCCGCCTTTGTCCATGGCGACCAAGCGCCAGCTTCAAGCGGTCAAGCAAGTGGCCATCTTGTCCACGATGTATGTGTTGACCAACTGCCCGCGGCTGGCAATGCTGGTGGGCCGGGCCCTGGAGCCCGAGTATTACATCGCTCAAAAGTACGACAAGCTGTTCCTCCTGTCTATGCACTTCCGGGTCACATCGGAGCTCTTCTGTGCTGCGACAAATATTTTCATTTACGTTAGTTTTAATGCCAAATACCGTTCGCTTCTTCGTGAAATGTTTTATCCCAGTTTGAAGAACGGTTAGTCCCTAACTAATTGACAACGCGCGTTCTGGTTCCCAGACTCAAACAAACCTTCAAGACGAGCTCTTTTTGAGGCACTTTAAAACAAAAACAAAAAATAACTTCGTTATTCATTCAGAATTTACAGTTCCGTTTTCTTTAACTGTTTACAGATTCTTGTTTTCCTGTTTTGTTTATGACGGTTAGAAACGTATCTAAACACTGGCTTTGGTCTGCTGCTGGTCGGGCATGTTATGTGTCCTCCTGTACGTCCCCAGAGAGTTAATGTAGTTTGTCTACTTGTCTTGTTCTGATGGCTGGGCTTTTTGGAAAATTCCATTTAACCCAGATCTCAGAGAGTTAATGTAGTGTGTGTACTTGTCTGGTTCTGATGGCTGTGGTTTCTGGAAAGTTTCCGATCTTTCTTAAATGACAACAGTTAGACGCTGTAACTTGATTTACAGAGTACAATTTGAGATCAAGTGGAAAACAGTTTTCATCCTCCACTTAGAATTAGTCGGGGTAAAATTCTGTTCAGGAAAACTTGAGTTTGATAGATTGATTGATTGATTTTTTTTTTGGTG